CAGAAGGTCACCAGGACAGAAAGCCCTGGGTGCCTAGCAAAGGACAATTGTGGGTCCTTTCCTCCCCTAGCATATCTCTGGTCATGTGGTTTAGACCTCCTGACCTTTCCTCTACTGAGTTAATATCTAGGCCTTATGTTGTATTTCAGCTCCAGGTCCAGAAAAGCAGCAAAACCAGAGAAGCAACACCATGGCTGCCCTCAGGACCAGCTACAATCAGTGGAAACCCAGACCCTGAAGAGACAGACCTGGAAAGCTGCTGAATATTCTATTAAGATCTCCCCTGGGGCCTCTCCTAAAATATCCACCCTTAAAACCCTTAGGACAGAGGACCCAGTGCACGCTCCCTCCTGGGAGCATGCCCATGTCTTTCCCTCTCTCCACCCCCTCCCTCACTTCTAAGCTCCATAAGTCCTTCCTTTACCTCTATAACTTGTATCCTAAGCCCATTTCTTCTACGAATTATTTCTTCTACCTCTGTGATTTTCCAAATAAATGTTCTCTTATTGTTTGAGCCTTGACTCTGAATTCTTTCCTCGCCAAACTCAAGTACCATATGGAGGTTGCTGACCTCACTGGTCTAACACCTGGTGTGTTCTTGCTGCCCCCAACAAAGGAATATGGAACATTCTTTCTCACAATAATAGTCTTTCCTGTACATAATCTTGGATAGCATGCAAAAGGAATGTTAGTACTTTTTTTTTTAATTCCTTCTGTAACAAATCCTAATCTCTCAATCTTTAGCCAATCCACCTTACTGGACAGTTAGGTTGTTTCCAACTGAGCTGGGATGAACAGTTCTTTGATTATTTTTTTGTATGGATTTCTAGAGGTAGAATGGTTGAGTTAAAGAATATAAACACTTCTGATGGAAAATGTTACAAATTGTCTAATTATCCTCAGACAAGTCGTAGCATTTTCTAGGACTACCAGCAGTGTGTGACACTACCCACTTCTCCATACCTTCTCTAAGTTTACAACTTATCATGTTAAAATTATAAATGTTATAATTATGAATTTTAAAAGATTTTACATTAAACTATCTTTACTCAGCCTGCGAACAAATATTAGTTTAAATTGTTATTTTGGCCCTAACCGGTTTGGCTCAGTGGATAGAGTGTCGGCCTGTAGACTGAAGGGTCCCAGGTGCGATTCCAGTCAAGGGCATGTACCTTGGTTGCAGGCACATCCCCAGTAGGGGGTGTGCAGGAGGCAGCTTATCGATGTTTCTCTCTCATTGATGTTTCTAACTCTCTATCCCTCTCCCTTTCTCTCTGTAAAAAAATCAATAAAATATATATTTTTAAAAATTGTTATTTTGTTGACTACTAATGACACTGAAAATTTTTTCATATATTTCAAATATGTATTGACCATTTGTGTTTATTACTCTAGTCTAAATAGTATCTTCAGATGAGGAAACTGAGGTGCTGAGAGGTAAAATGACTTGTTTAAGCACACACAGATTCTATGAAGAAGATAACTTTTTTTCATATTCTAAAATGAAATGGGATTGTTCTTCAGTTTGTCAGAGTGAGCAATAAAGCCTATGGAGCAAAGTTCTGTTTAATCCAAGAGTTGAAGGACATCTAATATTTGTCTCTTCAGAACAAATCATCTTTATAAAATATTGCTTGAAGAATTATTATGAAGGTTTAATGAGTTACAGTTCTTTTATTCTTTAATTTCAGTCTCAGATAAATTAAATCCAGAACAAGATTGGAAGATATAGAAGAGACTGTTAAAAAGAGTGTCTGAATATGTTGACAGCATCCTTCTTACCATCCATTGGTCATGAATGTCTACACAGTTGTAGATGCTGGAGGAGACTCTGGTACCCCATGACCTCCTTCTCCCCTTTACCACATCACGAGGACAAAGCAGCCAACTGAATATGTTTGATGATGGTAGAATGCAACCAGCAAACTATTTCTAGCAATGCACAGAAGCTGATACCTGATTGTTTTTTTCTGAATGTCTTTTTTCATTTCTATCGCAATTGATATGTAAAACCAGGCTGTTACCTGCTGCTTTAACTTTGTGTGGCAAAGTCAAAGATTTCTTTCTGTAATAACTAACAACAGACTTCATGAGTCAACAATAAAAAAAAAAGAATAACAATAAAGGAAATGCCAGAGTTACTGAAATGTTTTTTAAAAACTTAAAAAAGCACACTGGCCAAATGTAATCTAGTTAAGAACTGACCAAAGGTGTACTTCAGCCAGAGGAAGGAATTTGAGGGACCTGGAAAAGGGAGATGTTTACATTCTTTTGGGGGTGAAGGGGACTCCTAACAACTCTTTCTATTTGACTTTAAATTCGTATACCAGGAGAGTGAAGTTTTTGTTCCAGCATCTGAGTGTTCAAGTTCCCTCGGGAAGAGGGAAATGCCTCTGAATACATGTCCAGTTTGAGATCATTTGTGTTCATGACTATCCCAGGCCAAGAAAGTAAAAGAATTAAATTTAAGCACTAGGGGTTTCTACTCTACCCCCTCCCAAAAGTGATGCTTCCTATACCATTTCTCGTTTTAAGTAAATAAATCATACAGAATTAGGTGCCAATAGCAGCAATGAAGACAGAAATTTGAGAGTTCAATCGTTGACCCTATGAAATGCATGCAGTTTCCAGTGGAGCACAGCATGTTAGGACATCTTAGTTATGGATGGCTGGGTTCTTGAGGAACTTGCATAAAGTAAAATTCACATAACTCAAGAGTAATTTTCCCATAACAATTCTGTATTTGTTCCGTATATAAGAGGTAGAAGTTTTAAGGCATGGATTGCTGCATTTAGCTTGAGGCAGACTACCTAGTCCAATCCTTGCTCCTCCTCTTACTAATGAAGAGAACTTAAGCAAGTTAATCTCTTTTTGCCTTAGATTCCTGTTAAGTGAAGATGATGATAATACACAAGATCTCATTTGATTGATTCTTTAAACAGCCTCATGAGGTAGCAATAGTCCCTACCTCATTAAGTTGTTGTGGGAACCCTAATGAGTTAATATGTGTAGAGTGGTTTAAAAAGATGCCTAACACATAAGTGCATTAGAACTATTTGCTTATTAATTATTACCAGCTAAAGAGGAACAGCCATGTAGCAATAGCATAAATGCAGTTTATAATTCACTTGGCCCACCCACTTTGAACTTTTTAGATTCTTTTCATTTAGGAGATTTCCATTATTTCAAAAGGAGTGTATATATTTAGACTTTATTTATCTTTTTATGTTGCACTATTTTAAATTTGTATAATTTAAATAAGCAACAAACAGATGTGTACTATATGGGCTTTAGGCATGAATGTGCAATAGATTTAGGGTTCGTTGCAATTCTAAAGGGCAATTACTACTGATCAATATACAAGTGTTCTTGTGCTTCTGAAGTGGTTCAGGATATATATACACAAAAGGCAGGCAACAAGAGAGAGGGTTGACTCAAAGTAAAACTAGTGATAATAATTCTTGTGTTCTAGGCACTGGTCTAAGTCCTTTTAAAATATATACATATATATTTACTTTTATTGATTTTTTGAGAGAGAGGAAGGGAGGGAGGGAGAGAGAGAGAGAGAGAGAGAGAGAGAGAGAGAGAGAGAAAGATCAATTGGTTGCCTCCTGTACCCACCTCACCAGGGATTAAACCTATAACCTGGATATGTGCCCTGACCAAGAATCAAACCCACTACCTTTTGAGGTGTGTGACAACATTCCAACCAATTGAGCCACATGGGCCAGGGGTGGTCTAAGTATTTTATACACATTGTATTCAATTCTTACAGTACCCCCATTTTACAGATAGAGAAACGGAGACAAAATATGTAAGCAACTTGACCAGGTCACCCAGCTGGTAAGTAGTGGTGCTAAGATTTAAACCTAAATATTCTACTCCCAAAACCAAGATGTAATTTTCTTACTATACCTCAAGAGGCTGTGATATAAAAAGTTCATTTTAGTTTCTTCCACTTTTTTCTCTCTTCAGGATTTGTTTACTTCTTTAAAAAAAATAATTCTTTATTGTTGAAAGTGTTATATATGTCCACTTTTCCCCCCATTGGGATCTGTTTACTTCTTAAATACTGCCATTACAACTGTAATAGGCATGTGTATGCTAAATAAACATTTTTGAAAATACAGAAAAATAGAAAGCAAAATGAATCAATAATGATACTATCACTCAAAGATGACAATTGTTAAATTTTTGGTGCATTTCCTTCTAGACTTTTTTCTAAGTTCGTGGTTTTGTCTTACATGTTTGCTTTATATAGTTGTGATCAAATTGTATATAATACAATTTTAATCTTCCTTTTCCCCCTCATAATACTGTAACATGTGCTTTAGAAAGTTCATAAAGTTCCTTATGAACTTTATAGGCTGCATAATGTACCATCGCATGGCAGTTCCATAATATACTTACTATTCCTTTCATGTTGGACGTCTGAGTACTTCCAGCTTTTTTACTCTGGGATGAAAATCTATGTCCCCTCTTTCTTAATTTCCTTTTTTTTTTTTTTGACATTTCTTCATATCTTCCTTAGCACACAATGACCTTGCTATCCCTCTACCCTTCCTTCTCTCAAAATTTACTTTCTGGAAAGGAGCTGGTAAGCTCATTCATACTAAAGTGTAGTATATGGTTTGTGAAGCTTAGTTTATTATCTCTTCAAAGATAGCTGTATCAATTTAAGCTTAGTTTATTATCCCTTCAAAGATAGCTGATAATAAAAGAATGAAGCTCTTATTGTGAGGTTTTAGTTACCAAAAAAACTCTAGCTGGGGAGATCCTCCAACCTCCCCAGTCAGAGAGTAGACCCCACAATAGCAAAAAGGTTCAGGGCTTACTTCATGTTAGTGAATCTGAAGAGAAGGCGGCTAGAGCTGTCAAGGTGGAGATGTGGTGAGAGGAGGGAAAGAGTTTGTATAAGCAACGGTGGAAAACTGGATAGAAGAATGGAAGAGAATTAGAAAATCCACTCAGCAGTACAGAGTAAATTTGGTACCACTTACCTAGTTTCTCCAACTCTGTTTGCCTTTCCAATCCATTTGGCCTTAGTGAGGGGCCGGACCACTCCTCAGAACCGCTGGGTCGGGATCTCGGTCCTAATCACTCTGCCAAGACTCCAGTTTGGGGGCCTTTGTCAGCCACAGAACCATTCGCAGGGAGCAAAAGTGAGGTTCTAAGCGGGCTCATTCCAAGCCCTGGGTCCACAGATGATCTTGTTGGACCTTCACCTCCCCGCCACTCAAAGAGGAGAGTTAATAACACCTGAGGCGGAGGGGGCGAGGTGGTTAGAGTCCTCACATGAAAGGTCAGGTCTTTCTTTCCCCCCTCCTAGAGGCTGCGTGGAAAAGCAAAGGGGTCCCAAGGCAGAACTCAGTTTCCCCGCAACTCCTCCTGCCCCACGTTCTCCAGTGATGTGCTGACAATGGCTGGTGTGAAGAAAGGGGACCGGAAGGGGTGTGCAGGGTAAAGGCCAAACCAAAGGGGTCAGTGGCTCCTCCGTTCTGGATTACGGACAGGGGGGAACCCTAAATGCGAAAACCTAGCCTGACCATCTTTAAAAAAAAAAAAAAAAAAAAAAAAAAGGCGAGACATTCCGGGAGAAGGCGGGGCGCAGGTTCCGGAGCAGCAGCCTCGGCTCCAGCCTTGCGCAGGGCGCGCTCCCACGCTTGTTCCACCCGGAACCGCGGGCGCCACACACGCACCGCCCGCCTCCCTGCTCTCCCGCTCCTCCCTCCGTTCTCGCTTGGTTGGAACGCGGGCCGCACAGCCCCGGGGGCGTAGGGAGGAGCCGGGGCGCGCCCGCCGGCGCACATTCCCC